GCACCAAATTCATCTCACAGTACTGGTGAGGATACTTCAGTCACACCAGGCACGTCTATCTTCGATGACCTGCTCTGTTGACGCTTTAATGCTAAGTTACTTCTTGTATTATAATTCTCACGAACACCTCCTTTTACTCCAATTTCCCACACGTTAAGTGTCTTAACTCTGCTCTCAGATATTCCGTTGCACTCGAATTGACGCGAGTCTCTCGGCAACTTAGTACTTGTAACGTTACCACGTCTCCATAGGCTGGAGGCCCGTCCTGCCAGGCTGGCAGTGCCAGCGAGACAGAATAAAATAAGCAAATCGTAATCTGCGTCTCAGGATTTCTGCTTGGTTCACGAAGCTGTTACAAACGAGCCCATTTCGTCCACGGACGAGGCTCCACAGTGTTGGGCCAGATTCCTCACCATTCGCATCCATTGGCATCAAAGTCACCTCGTCCTCAATTGCCACAGAGCTCGACACCTTGTCATTCGCATTACTTGTACTGAAATATAGTGATCTCTGCACGTTCTTGCCATTTCATCACAGTGTTCAAGGTGCAGTTTCCAGCGATCACGCTGGACCTGGAACTCTCTCCAAGCAGAAATACGCGATGTATGATCCCCATGTGGGCCCAGAGCCGAGGCAAACGCCTGAACAGCGCGTGCTGTTGGCGTCGTGGCTCCAGCCATTGACGGTGGTGTCGAGCAGTGCGTCGACAGAGATTCGTCAGTTGTAACAAATATCATAAAGTAGGTATTCGGTGGATTTGTTCTAGTTTATTACACATCGACCTTGCGTATCTATGCTCCTTTTGCAAGCTGTTATATAGCGCAATTTGACCCCTCCATGTTGCAACCGGATGACGCGCCCTACACTTTCCAAGTCAATCGCGGTGTGTAAACCTTGCGTCTTCCTCGATGCAAAGCTATCTCATCGACGCACACGCAAGGTGTTCTTGTCCATACATGTAGCACAACACCGCGCTATAACAGCAAGTCAACACATGTCTTGAAGCACCAGCACTGCAACCAAAGCAAGCTTGCATTTCCAAC